TAACAAAATATGATAAAATATGTGATAAAATATAATTTATTATTAAAAAAATAATTAATTAATATTTATTTAATAAAAACTGAAACCGAACCGATTTCATTGATAAAAATTGGTAACCAAACCGATTAATTTATAACAATTTCGGTTTGGTTTCGGTTCAAAAAATTAAAACCAAATTTTTTTGGTTAATTCAAAATCGATTTCGATTTTAACTAAAACCGATTTTTGCCCACCCCTACTCGCTACAGATCCTACATACGGTGGCCCGATCCTATCATAGGAAAGAACCAAAAAATAAAAATACTATTATAGGAAATATGATCAATTATTTTGAATCCACAAATTTTCAGGCCAACCAAGAGGAGACAAACCCTATATATATTTAAAAAAAAAAATTCAGAACCCAAATACACCCTTGAGTGAATGATGTTTTAAACTAATTAAATTATATGTTAGCCAATATTGCAATGATTAGTTAAAACATGTCTTTCATTTTATTCACTTTTCACTATTTTTCTTAGATTAAACATAATTTAAAAGAAGTGAGTGTCTACTATTTAAATTAATTAAATTATAATATTAATTAATATTATAATCTGTTTCATTAACACCCTCTTTCCTTTTCCTCAAACTAAAAAAAATTGGGCTTGTCAAACTAAAATGTTGGCCAGCTCATCCGCAACCAAAAATTAGGCAAAAAGTTGGTTTCATTTTAAAGAGGTTTCCTTGAACCGGAAATACAAGTTGAGTTTTTCTTTCGAACTTGTTTTGCCAGACACGGCAATTAAATTGCTGGCATATTTGACTTCTAATTAAAGATAAATGGACTTTCATCGGAAAAATCAACCGGTAATCAAGTTCTTTTTATATTTTGAGGATGTGAAAAATTAAAATATTTTGATATTAAAATTATCAAGATGTAAATTATTATTTAAGTGAATTCCACTTAAATGAAGAATGTGATTGAACATTTTAATAAATTTAATGTTAAAATGTTTTGATTTTTACTTTTTTGTTATATTTTTATTCAAAAATAAAACCATAAATAAATAGAAACAAAATCCCTTTCATTAATTTCACATGTCAAAAATAAATTAATAATTGTACTTATTAGTTAATAAATAATAAAATAATTAATATTTATTATTAAATAGATTAAAAGTAATTTATAAATTGATACTTTTAAATATAATAATTAAAAAATTAATGCATATCAATTTTAATTTTTTAAAAAAATTAAAATCTTAATTTACATTTGGATATCGAAATCTCAATTTAAAATTTAAAAACACATTTTATTAAATGTTTATATTTAAATTAAAGAATTAATTATATTAATATATAATTAATTTTTTAATCTAAATATTAATATTTAACAAGATAAATTTTTAATTTTAAATTAAATTTTAATTAAATAAAATGATATAATTTAATATTAAAAATAAAAACTAATACGTATTTTCCCCTATAATTGTTTATATATAAAATAATATCAATATTTGTGTAACTCCAATAATTTTGTGTGTAATCATGCCCACGCTCCAAAATTCTCCACGACCCTTTCAAATGCTTCTGACACTACAAGGACATGCCATCAAGTTGCTTTTGAAATATGGTCATTGCTACCATCAGCCTAATTAATCTCTTGCTGGATGGAAGCAGATTTCTAGCTCACATTGCTGACTCTGGCAACGTAAAATTGTGGGCATTTTTGTATATATTTTGCCTCCAATTATATATACCATGTACAAACTCTCTCCCTTGGGAGTTTGAGAAGCGAATGTATATAAAAATAGAGACATTTGAAATTACTGACAAATGGCGAGTTACACAACAAACGACTATTCTTTCTTTTGTAAAATTCATTCACTTATTTTAATGTTCAAATATAAAACTTTAAGTAATAAATTTTTATTAGTTAAGACATCTAAAGACAGAAAGTACTAATTTTCATGTACATAATTTAGGCTTTAAGAGTAGCTGGGCTTTATATACCAGCTAGTTACAAACTAATGGCGCGCAAACCTCTCTTTGGACAAGACTCGGGAGGTGAATTCATTTTATTTTTATTATTATTATTATTATTATTATTATTATTTTGATACCTGTGAGTTGAATTTATGCAGGCACTGATGCACTTTTATTTTGTGAATTTTAGTTCGCAGGGAGTGAGGGGGGAGGCCCGAACCTTTCGGTTGGGAATTTGACCATCAATCTGACACTACCATTCCAAGGAAGTAACTTCGCCACTTGCTCTATCATCCCGAATACTTTTTTTTTTACTATTTATGCCTCCAAATAGTTATTTTTTATTATTTATACTAAAATAACAGTTATGTTTAAAAAATCTTTTTGGAGGTTAAGAATTTAGAAAAATTTATGACTTTACTTATTACCTTTAAAAATAAATAAATAAATAAATTGATGTTACAGAAAATAAATTAGGTTAAGCCATAATAATAGTGTTACACCCTGTTTGACTTGAAAGAATGAGAAATTATTATGATCAATCAAATATTTTGTTAGCTAAATATATTAATTTAATTGATTGAAATATAAAAGTCCCTCCCCTCCCCACCCCTCCCCGTCCCTTCCCTCCCTTTTGTTTCCTCTAAACCAAAGAGACTATTAAAGTAAATATATATATATATATATTTACCTAATTTTTTTTAAATAATTAATTTAAATAAATTCTGATGAAAAAAGAACTCTTATATTGAGACATAGGGGGTATTACATATATATATATATATATATTTACCTAATTTTTTTTAAATAATTAATTTAAATAAATTCTGATGAAAAAAGAACTCTTATATTGAGACATAGGGGGTATTACAAAGGTTTTTAATGGGGAATAGGTCGTATATGTGTTAATATGGAGTGGCTTCGAGGTGTGAATAGACACAATCTTTAAACTGATATCTTGAATATTCACAACAGCCAATGGGAGATATCTTGAACATTTGAATTGATCCAGAGGTCTTTTGAGTGGATAAAAGGGAGGAAGCTGAAGTGGGTTAGCCTGGATTTACCAGCTGGTGTCAATTACTCAGCTCCCACTGCTGTGTGTAAAAGAAATAATTCGAGAAAATATGTAAATAAGGATATTAATTTCGTATTTTTTTCATCTAAGGTCAAACTCTTTATTTGCACAATGCACATTATTTTTTTCACAATTAATACCTTTCATAATTTTTACTCCTAGTCAACTTTCTCTATAATTTGAAACTCATTAAAAAATCCCAAATTATCAACAAAGTTAGGATGTAAATATAGGGTTTGACCATTAATTTTAGAGGTTTTCTTTTTTTTATAGATTTTAGATTATAAAAAATGTTGATTGAGAGTAAAAATTCTTGAGGGGATTAACCACAAAAAAAAATATAATATCAAGGGTGAGTTTAGCTTCTATTTAATGATATTAACTTCCTTAGTTTCCAAATAAGAATACTAATTTTGAATTTTTTTTTATTTAAAGATATTAAATTTTAATCTTTTTTATTTAAAGATGTTATCTTTCAATTTTTTTAATTTAAGAATTTATTAGATAATAACACTAATATGACAAATGAATTTTTGAAAAATATTAATATTTTTAAATAGAAAAAATTTAAAATTAATATTTTTAAATAAAACAATTGAAAGTTGATATATTTATTTGGAAACTTGATAAAATTAATTTTTTAAATAAAAAATAAAATTAATATTTTCATTTATACATTTTTTTTTCTAAATAGTTAATAAATGTGAAAAGTTTTGACTTAAGGTTTGAGTTTGTGATATTGCGAGTTAAGTGCTTTAAGTGACTTACACCTGATTTCCAGTTCATGTACTGTGCTGCTTACTGCTTGTAACTTTTTTCTTAATAAATTATTTCTTGGCTCTCATCGGAAAAAAAAAAAAAAATCTTGGCTAATAAAGAAAAAAGAAAATTGCCCCTAGTCAAAGAGTTTGCTGCCAAGTTAATAACAAATCAACCCCAAGAAATACCAAGGCAACCCGAATTTTGCAGATAGTAATTTTAAAGATATTTCCCTCTAGAAATTTTCATTTAAATTGTATATTTGACTTGTAAATGAATAGTAGAAGAGCATTAGAGAAAGTGAGATTTGGTTTAAATGTAAATAATCTATTCTTTCTAAATGACCACACATATTTATAGCATATTAAGGGGGTGAAAATTCATGACTCTATACAGCTCTTGCTTTCCTTAAAAGACATTTCTTTCCGTGTTTTAATAATCATGTACATGGCATATGTTCATAAAAAGACATTTCCGTCCGTATATGTCAAGAATCATATTGCTTATTTCTTATCAAAAACTTACATAAATGCACCTTTTGTCCAATAACTACATTTTTCTATGATATTATTTTATTTTTACAAGGCAGAGGAGCTGAGAAATGTAGAAACTCTGCATGAACAAGAGAAAGCGTATGGGCAGTGCAAAAGAACGCCAATTTCTCATTACCCAAAAAAAAAAAAAAAACGTCAATTTCTGACACAGCCTTTCCCCAGTATCGAATATTTGGCATCTTTTTATGTCAGAGTTCTTTTACCACTGGTTTGCATTTATATCTCCTTGACTCTTTTCGTTTTGGGGAATCATAAACCTATAACATCCACATATAAATCCAAATAACCCCATTTCTTCTTTATTTAGGAGTTAGTATACCCATTATTTCCCTATCTTTGAAACAGAGTAAGTACATTACTGAATTGATCTAGAATGGCTGCTGCAGTGGCGGAAGTGGTGAAGAAATGGGCGGCGTCGGCGTGGTTGCAGGTACTGGCGGGGATGGTGGCGGTGCAAGTTTTTGCCACGGGGCTGCAGATTCTTACTAAAGTCATTTTGAGTAATGGAGCCTTTATCTTTGCTGTCATGGCCTACCGTCATGTTGTTGCTGCTTTCTGTGTAGCTCCTTTTGCTTTCTACTTCGAAAGGTTTGTTTTTCTGTTTCTTTCTTAATTTTTGTTGTTTATGCATGAAAATTATATGATTTTCTTGGTTTTTTCATGGTTGCAGAGGTAATGTCAGGAAGATGAAGAGACTGTCAGTTTGGTTATGGGTATTCTTGAGTGCCTTAATAGGGTACGTATCCTTATGTACCATGTTTGGCAGACCAATTCACGTTATCTATTTGTTTTTAGGTAAAAATCTAGTTTTTTATGGTTCATGTAATTCTTAAGTGTGTGTCTTATGATTTTATACGCAACAATAAGGGAAGGTAAGGAAATTTGAATATGTGAGACGGCCAAAACTCGTGGAGGATGATGTCTTGGTTGGAATTTATATGGATGAGAAATTTTTTTTATAGGAAAATCTGAGGTACATATTTTTTGAGTTACATACATCCTCAAAAACATTAAATCCATGAAAATCTTGAAATGAACTCCATTTTTACTTCGGTGAAAACGGCCGAATTTGCTTGGATACAACAAATCCTGTTGTGGATTTAGCTGCATCTTTTTTAAAATTGAAGTGATTAAAGAATATTTTGAGTATATGTTACTTTTGTTAAAAGCAGATGATTGCTAATTTCATCATATACATTATAGAAAGCTTAGTCTTTGCGGATCTTTAGTTACGTGGGCATAAAAATGTTTTCTTAGAAAAGGAACATGATATCTTAGTTAGACGTTCAAACGTTCCCCCTACATGCTGATTCTTGTTTATCTACGAAACTTCAACTTAAAGATTATGCTGTCTTTCTGCTTTTGTGATGTTTGATCTATTATTGAACAATAGATATATGAGGATTTTCACATGTGAAATCATGATGCAGGATAACAGTGGCTATGTCATTGTTCTATTATGGACTCAAAGATACCACAGCTACTTATGCTACCAACTTCCTCAACTTAGTTCCAATTGTCACCTTTGTCCTCTCTATCATTTTTCGGTAATAATTTTTTCTCGATAACTCTTTTATTTTTTACGTTTTACCATACGAGATGGTAAGGGATTTGAATCTAAGACCTCTAAGTACTGTATCAAAGGATGAGGGAATTTTAATTGGTCTTGTAGAGTAGAGAAATTGGGGCTTGGAAGCAAGATGGGAAAGGCGAAGACCGCAGGTGCCATCTTGTGTGTAGGAGGAGCGTTGGTTACTACCCTTTACAAAGGAATGACATTCCATTTCCACATGCCTCACCATAACAGTCATCATCTCCTGACTACCCTCCATACAGTCAAGCATAATTGGACTCGAGGAACAATGTTACTTCTAGGTAGCTGCATCTCCTATGCTGCCTGGTATATATTACTGGTAAACATCATATTTGTATGTCAATACTACTTAAACTGTTAGATGAAACAATTATATATTAGCGTAATTATTATTATTATTACAAAATAGGTGAAGTTGCACAACGTTTTTCCATCAAAATATTGCGCTACAATGATCACATGCATTATAGCATCTGTGCAATGTACCGTAGTGGGTTTATGCATAAAGAGAGACACGACTGCTTGGAGATTAGGGTGGAATATGGAACTGCTTACTATTTTTTACTCGGTAAGTATTAGTGTTACATAGTTGAAAAATTAAAGGTTTCATTTGTTATCTCAAATTAAACATATAGAAATGCTTGCTTTTCTACAGGGGGCACTATCTACGGCTGCAACATTCTGCTTGATTTCATGGGCAGTTTCAAAGCGAGGGCCAAGTTATCCTCCAATGTTCAATCCCCTGGCATTGATTTTTGTAGCCATATCAGAGGCACTCATTCTGGGCACAAATATCAGTCTTGGAACGTAAGATATGATTAATTTAAAATTTTCAATACATTTTTGGGAATCTCCAGATTGTGATTTTGGTAAATTTCAGGATATTGGGAATGATCTTGATAATAATGGGACTGTCCTCCTTTTTGTGGGCCAAAAACAACGAGATGAGGATGAATCGTTTGCCTCTAACAAATGCGGTAGCTTGTGAAGAAGGACAAATTGTTTCTGAATCCATAGAGATGCAGTCTACTGCAGCACCCGCAACAACTTCACAAGTTAAAACACCGCAATAGATTCATTTTTGTTTTGCATTCCTAGTCTACTAAAACAAGCTAGGTTAACGTAACTCTTCCATACAGATTTCTAATAAATAGATAAACAAACTAATGGGACATCAAAAGCATATTAGCAGTACTAAACTCGACCATCCCATGGATTCTGCTATCTGCCTATCTCAGATCATCCATAGAATGATAAAAGCACGGTTAAGCCAAATATCATCTTAGCCCAAAAGCCAATTTCGATTATACTATATATACACAACTGCAGGCATTATTTGAAGCAATTCTTAATTTAACTGAAGTGGGGATGACATGACTTAGCAGAGAGACGATCAAGAACAACATATGCTGAGAAAAGCATCCTCAATGATGTGATGAACCTCTGGGGAGTTGAGCGCAATGTAACAGTAAACCAACTCCTCTATTCCATCCCAATCATGGATTTCAATAAATTGGATCATCTCTAGAATGGACTCCCTCACATCCGAAATTGGGTCCTCTGAGTACATTACTGCACAGATACAACCTGCAAAAATATCACAAGCATCATCAGGTAAAGTAGCTGAAAAGCTAATTCCATTATTTCTTCTCCTATTGTTCTTGTTTTGGAGTTCCTTAGAAACAACCATGGCTACTGAAAAACAAAGCAGCTTTGTTGAAAATGCTCTCTAGATGGTGAATATTTTTAGAGGTCGAATGTTGGGGTTGTCACATTAGCTCCTGAGGCCATAAAATGAATGCAACGGCGTACCTTGTGAGGGTAAGCTGCTCCTCATTAATGTTCTTGTGAAAGTAGTTGAGTTCAGAGGGAATCATTTAACGGGCTGTTTGGTTCGCCTCCTCTCTGGATAAAGAAATAAAAAACATGGCTTCACACAGCACTTCAAAAATCTTGCCACAAATATCAATGCAAAGTTTTAAGTGATTATAAGGCTTATAATCAATTATAATTAGAGATAGTTGATTATGAATCCCGGTACATGTTTTTGGTTGGAAAAAAGAATCCAACCTTTTTAATCAAATTATCTCAATTTATAATTAATTACACTCACTTTCTTAGAAAATTATATATAATGGATCAAGCCAACAACAATTTTGGCTTAGCTTTATCGGATAAAGATTCCGGAAGGGGCTAACCAAACAGATCTTAAGGATTTTTTAACTTATTATGCTTTATTAATACACTATTTTGATCTTATATATATATATAAACACTATTTTGAGATTAATTAGTATTAAAAATTATAAAAATTAACATTAATTTATAAAAACTAACATTAATTTTACAACATATACTTTATAGATCATTTTGATTAAATAAATATCAAATTTTATTTTTGCAATACAAATTAATGTAAAAAATATGTTGTTAACCTATGGCCTAAAAGCTCATCATTAAGAGAGTAATTGAGATGATTTCTCCCTTAAAAAACAAAAATTACCTAAATTTTGTCTATGATAATGACCACATTTTGTTAAGCTATCAAAATAATTAAATTTCTATCTTAATTTAATTATAAAAATAATTGGAAAGTAATAAATAATTAATATTTATTATTTAATATATTAAAATTAGATTATAAAAATAGATAGTTTTAAATATCATAATCAACTACTTAAAAAATTATAAACTAATAATTATAATTAGTGATGTTAACAAAATAATTAGTCACCACATCTTATCCTAAATTTCTCCGGATTTGGAGAAGAAGGGCTTGTTTGGTTTAGTTTGTCAAAGTTTTTGCTTTTTGAGTACTGTTTATGAGTGATAAGTTTAAATTTTCACTGGAGAGAAAATTTAAAAATTACTTTTAGAGATATGAAAAAATGAGTAAAAAAAGAGTTTATAATAAGTTTGGATTCGAAGCTTTTTTTAGGTTTGAAGCTTTTTAGATTTGAAACTTTTGAGTTTTTACTGTTTGAAGTCTTTTTAAATTTAAAAAAAATTAAAAATATAAATTTTTAAGAGAGAAATTTAAACTTATAAAATATGAATAGTATAAAAAAACTAAAACAGTAAGAAGTTAACCCAAACATGCCCAAAATTTGGGGGGAGATCTGGATTTGCCGTGCAGTTAAAAAGAGAGAAAAGGGGCAGGGATTGAGTAAATATCCGGCAAAATTATGGAATAAGGACCCAAACTTATAGAAAACTCACAATTCCAAACTCAAACTTCAATTGCAATCAATTAAGATCTCAGATTACATGAAATTCTCAAATGAGATTTCAATTAGTTGGAAAATTAACTTGTCATCAAATGTCTTTTGATTTTGTTAATATTCGTTACTCTCTCACCCAACTGGAACAATAACATGAGAAAAAACATGTTGACTTGTCATTTTTAATTTACGTGAATATCATGTAAATTGTTTTAAATAGATCAAAAATGATAAGTTGGCATTTTTTTAAGCATTATTGCTCCAATTGGGTGAGAGAGTGATGGATATTAATGAGAGTCACGAGACATTTGACAGCAAGTTAATTTTTTATTTAATTGAAACCTTATTTTAGAATTTCATGTAGTTTGGGACCTTAATTGAGTGTAATTGAAGTTTAGGTTTGAAATTCTGAATTTTGTGCAAGTTCAGGTCCTTACCCTATACTTTTGCCTAATTTCCCCAATGAAACGGTGACGTTCGTTTGCCTTATATTTTCCCTACCAGGTCCTTCCTCCATTGAATATTGTACTGTTCAGCTAAGTTCCCAACAGTCTGCAATCTGGATGCTGCAATTCAAAATTTCGAGGTTTAGCAAATTGTTTAAGTCCAAAATCACAATTTTACTAAGGAAAATGATTGATAAATCTTTTGGTTCAGTATATTCACTAATATCAACTAATTCAGTTATTAAAATTTATAGTTTTAAATTTTTTTACTTTTAATTTAAATTTTAAAATAATAATGTTTTAATTAATATGTTATAAAATATATTGAATCAAAGAGTTTATTAATTATTTTTTTATTAATTAATACTTATTTGTTTGGAAATTATTTCAAAATGCTTTTCTCAAAACCTCTTGCAAACTCCGTTAATGTCTGTCACACTCCGTTAATGTCTGTCACACTCCGTTATTGCCATCCAAAATGGAATGGGAAACAATATTCAAGGTTAAAAAGAACAATGAAGCATTTGTAGTAGAATTCACAGATTCCACATGCACATGTCGATCATGGCAGTTGACAGGGATTCCTTTCCCACATGCTACTAGAGTCATGGAATGTCGCCAAAGTGAAGTGGTGCAGACCGGGTGGGGTGACCCTGAGGGAAGCAATCAGGAATCCAAAGAATTCATGAGGATTTTATGGGAAATCAACACGGAAAACACCCCACCAGCCATCATCAACTTGGCGAGGAAAGTAAATGGAGGAATCACATGACCATGTCGACCAACTGCCTCTCTCACAAACCAAAATATGCTTGTTTGGGTCGGACTCTAGGAAGACAACTATATCCATGTTGAACTCGTGAAATTCACCGCCCCACAAATGAGACCCATTAGATGTGATGACAATAAATTTCCCAAACTTAGAAACTGCAGGGTTATATTCGACAGCTTCGTAAAGGGTTAGCCGCATAATCTTGTTGTCCTTATCACCGATTTCAGTTGAATAAAGAGTTGACTAGCTTTGGAATTGGTGGTTGAGCTACTTATGAGTTGAAACAAAGTAGAGTCAACTGTTTTTAGGATGGGACGATCGTGAAAGAGGTTGTGGGGCACGGACGCCAATGGCTTGGGTTTGGATAGGGCAGGGCAAGTGCGATGAATTTGGGTCAATCCTAATCTTTCAAAGATAAAAACAATGGATTGGTCTTCATCGACGAATTAGGCGTTGAAGTTGATGGAGTTGCCATCGGTGAGGTAGTGCTTAGTGGTGGTAGTGATGTGGTTTAGTTGGACAGAGAAGACATCAAAGCCATAGATTGACCGGCGGACAATAGAGAAGACGATGGTGCCTTTGGGATCCATTAGAATTGGCGTGGAAGCGTACCTGTTGTTATGAGTGTGAGTGAGAGTGAGACTGGTGGAGATGTGACGGACATTAATGGAATTTGTAGGAGATTTGACAAAAGTTAGTTTTCTGTCCAATTGGGACCTTATTTGAGAATTTCGTGTAGTTTAGAACTTTAATTAAGCACAATTGAAGTTTGGGTCCAAAATTGCAAATTTTGTGTAAGTTCGGGTCCTTATGTCATGTTTTTGCCATTAATTTATGAAAACCTTTAAAATTTAAATTTTGCAATCATATTTTATTTTTTATAATTATTTTAGAACGACCAAAGATTTAAAATTACAAAAGACAACTATCGTATGAGATAAGCGCAGTCTACCACAATTTAAACTATAAAACATATTTTTTTATTTTTTATATGAATTATTAATTCAATATTTCTAAAAATAATGTATTCAAATATAATTATGTGGACATTGATTAGTATATACTCTAATTCAACATATTATATAATACACTCATTAACAAGTCATTATTTTTTGGTTTTAAATTAAAAATAGACAAAATTAAAAATGCAGTTATGTATATATGATACAAAAATCGACTGAATTAATTGTATTTATATTATATTTTAATAACTAAACTGGAATGAACATTAGAAAATACATTAAACTAAATATATATTAATCATTTTACCAATTATGCAAAAACTACCATTATAGGCCAAACAAACTTGAGATCATAATCATGCAAAAAATTTCTAAAAATTTTATCCAATTATTCTAAAAAATAAATCAATTGGGATGGCATCATATGCTACATTAGTGAATTATGACACCCATTTAGTAATATTGTTGTTATTCGTTTTCTATTGTCAAAATTATTTGAATAATTGAAAACTAAAAAGAAAATGATTGGTACACTCTTTGGTTTAACACATCTAATAATACCCACCGGTTCAATCATTAAAATTTGTTTTTGAAAATTTTCTAAGCTTAAATTCAAATTTGAAAATATTAGTTTCTTAATAAATTAACCAACGGGTATTATTAAGCTGGTTGAACTAGAGGGTATATCAATTATTATACAAATTAAAACTAAAAGTAAAAATTGAAAAGTAAAATCAACAACTTATTCAATTTGAGATTTTAAAACTGAAATCTAAAATTAAAATTTATTTTAGTTATTTAATTCTTTTAAATTGTAATTTAGTGATATTTTAATTTGAGAAATTAATTGGCATTAAAAAAATAAAAATTGACTTTTGCTTAATCAATTATCCAATTAAAATTTCATATGTCATTGGTGGTACGTAAAATTAGGGTGAGCTTATGGGCACACTAATTTTGTTAGAGCCACTAATTTTATTTGTAATTTTATCAATTAATAATTTTTATTCTTAAATACTTGTTATGATATTTAGAAATATTTATTTATGAAATAATTTTAATTTGTTAAATAATAAATATTAATTTTTTTATCAATTATAAGTGTTTTAAACATGCAAATTAAAATAAAACTTTTACAATTTTAATGGTCTAAAAACAAAATTAGTAGTAGCAATAACCACAATGGTAAAGTTAATGCCAATTTTTATATTTTTTATACAAATTAATGTAAAAAATATTAAATGCACCCTTAATTAGGCATAAGTTTAAAAAAACACTTAAAATTTTGCAATGAAACAAAAAATAAATAAATAAATAAATAACGACAACAATGTTACTAAACAAGTCATGAATCTTTCATGTTAGCGGGTTCCCCCCAGAGTTGTCAGTTAAGATAGATAGAGAAGGGGAGAGACATATTTTATTATATAACTCATTATTTGATATATATATATATATATGAGCATAAGCGATTTGAATCTAGGACCTGTAAATAATGTATCAATTATCAAAGTATAAGCGATCAAGTTTTAATTGGTC